CTGAATTTTGTGTCTTCAACTTCATCGAATGTATAACCTGACATGAATTTGTTAGTTGACTATTTTAATAAATGAAGAGACACAATTCCTGCCCATGGAAATCACTTTCTTGATTTTTTCCTTTTTCCTTAATATGGAAATCAACCCCTTTTTATGTGTGTATTTTATGCAATTTCTAAGTTGATGATGTGCAAACAAGAATCAGAATACATTTCAGCCTTGATACAGAATCTTCTTTAGCTTAAATTCGCAAGTTGTAACACTTGAATCAAGTACAATATTGGACATGCGTCGAGCTTAATAACTGATATTTCAAGACTTGATGCTCATCAAGAGAGCGGTCAAATCAGCTGAATTTGGTTAAAAATCTTTCAATAATTACAATGATTGGATAATGATCTTAAAAATGTGATGGCCTCGTAAAGAAGGCTATTGAATAAACATCCAAGGTACACCTAGAAGAAAATATGAAGAGAATGCAAATAAATAAAGTTCTTCATTGCCACTTATGACGGAAAATAGTTCAAGATTTCCATTACGTGTACACAAAACAGTACCACCTAGGCAGAAATGGCATTCTTTGAAATGAAGTCGAAAGATATTCCATTCTCTTGCATACGTTCTTGGAGATCCGTTGGGCCAAATATAATCCCTGGGGTGCAAACTCCTCCCTTTGGCATGTTATCACGGGATTTCAAAAGGATAAGAGCACATTGCAGTAGCATTATTGGAGTGGCAAGATATCCAATCTCAGGTCCCGTTACTCTTGTTATTACTTCAACATCTGGTTTCTTGTCTCCACTGGATGCAAGATTACCATCGCTAAATCCGTGCCCAACAAACCACATCTTAAAGGAAGCACTTGACACTTCGTCCTCAGTAGGTCCTTTCTTCCTGAACCAGCCTAGGCTGAAAAATGATGGAAATTTTAAGAGAAGCCATCTCCCAAGAGAAATTTTACCAAAGAGCCCAATAAACATCCCGACTGCAATGAAACGGAATATTCCCAACAGAGATTTTGATCCTAACTTTACTCCAAAGTGAGCTGGCTTCACAGATGACCAGAAAGCTTTCCTCTTTTCAATATGTTCCACACTTTCGTTAATACCAGGTAAACCACGGGGATTTTCTGTTAGAGTTGCTAAAGTTCTTCGCACAACAATGGAATCCGCTGATGGTAGCTTGACAGCCCAAATTCCAAGCTTCTTCTGGTGTTCAATGATAGGTCCCTTTTTCGGCGCAGGACCAGGAATCTAAAATAAACATGTAAATTTGACAAGCCTAGTTTCCCAAAACCACGTGAATGAGACACAACATTTGAATTTTTGACAGTTAACATTAAGGTTTCTAGTCTTGATATGCAACTTGTGTAACATGTTTATAAAAAATGTGATTTCCCATACCACAATGATAAATATCTCACTTGGTACTCATCCCACTTTCTTGTAATAAACACAGTTGAAACTCCTTACTCAAGTTCAACTCCAGCAACCTCACATTATGATGTTCCTGTTGTTTGTGCCTATAATATAAATATCATACTGCTAATGAATGACATCGCCAAATGCCCATATCAGGCATCTTGGTAAATTCTTATCAGTGTATTATAGTGTTCTGCAAGGATTTTTCAACAATATTAGAAAATTCTTCCAACTTAGATGAGGCAGTTCTAACATTTTCAAACCCAAACATACCAAAGTCAGATATAGCATTATTGAGACAAATACAGGAAACACATTGCTGTATGTCAAAAACAAAAGGCAACCTGAAAAACTTGGCACTATGCGTTTACAATGTTGGTTAGTGAAAACTGGTTAATGGGTTTGATTCTTTCCGCAGCATGTTCCGCTTTTAAGCACAGTCAAACATACAGAAGAGACTTGTTCTCAAACAATCTATTTGGCGATTTACAATTGCTATTATGTGATTTAGCAGAATGATATTAACTCACAAATAGTAATTTAACTTTTTGAAAACTGAAATAGATTCACTCCAGGACCTCAAACAAATAACATCAAACACATTCAAATAAGTAACGCAAGCTAAGAAAACAAAACAAATAGCATAGATAAAACAACTTTTAAATTTCAATGGAAGAATCATACCATGGGCCTGGCTCTCCGGGGCCTGGACCGCCTCAATTCCATCAATTTATCAGCATTAGCCACCCCAAGGACCGCCGATTCATAGGTCCCAATATTGCCTACCACTTTTTTATCCGATTCCAAGCTCAAGTACGCCTCGACCATGTTCGGCACTGAAGGTGGAGCCCACTGCCGGGTATGGAACATCAGCCCCATCTCCGCCGGAACGGAATCAAACCCACAAGCCGAAATTACCAAAGAACCCTTCTCCACTGCCTTCTTATGGTACATCGCTTCCATTTTCTCCATAAACTCCGGCTCCCCACAAATATCCAAGTAGTCACAACCCGACTCCACGCAGGCCGCCACCACGGGCTCTCCGTAGAGGCGGAACGGGCCGACGCAATTGAGAATAAGTTTCGTATGCCCTGCAAGGCGGGTAAGCGAATTGGTATCAGTAGTGTCGGCAATAAGGAGAGGAATTTGGGGCGGAATGTTAGGATGGGCGGCCCATTTCAGGGCTTGAGCCAATCTTGACGAGCTTCGGCCTGCCAAAGCTAGGGACTTGAGAGGGGAGTTTGGGGTGTTAAGGAACTTGAGGGCTTCCCGAATAACGTACTTTCCGGTGAAACCAGAGGCTCCCAGGATCACAACGTCGTAGATTCTTGGGGAATTGGAACTGATTTCCGCCATTTTTTCGATTGGGTTTTTGCAGACAGTGACTATAGAGTTTTCTGGTTTATGGGTTTTAAAGAATGGGAAGTGGTAGAAATGCGCGTCGATTTTGATGACGATGGTGAAAAGATCCTGGAATTCAGTGCAGCTCCATTTGCTTCGTAAATTCCGTAGTTATAATTTAAGATTAAAAATAAAAAGTCCAATACAGAAGGTTCCATGGTGTAGTGGTTAGCACTCTGGACTTTGAATCCAGCGACCTGGGTTCGACTCCCGGTGGGACCTCTTTCCTTTCCTATACAATCTTTTACTGGTTTTATTTAAAATTTGGAAATAAATCAGAATGAGCATATATACAGGATATAGATGTGTACAATGTAAAAATGGACGAAGAACCAACAAGTAATGTTTACACATTTGCTGTCTTTTATGATGGTTGTTTATGTTAAGGGAGAAAAAAACAGTGTCAAGCAGAATCTTCGCCGATGCCAACTCTGCAGCTATGTATTCGACCTCAAAGCAAAGAAACCACGATGATCTTGAACTTAATCCATTGGTTTTCCGCATTGTAAAGGACGGTTTGGATACACATTTCGACATCTCTGCCTTGGCAAACGCTTTATCCTCTTTCCCCAACCAGTTAGACTCAGTTCCCGACAAATAGATTGCTCTGTTTGGGTCGAACCAACTGCCTTTTTCGTTCTAGATATAGTAGCGCGCTTCTTTCCCCTGACAGTTTTTGTAGCATTCCTCAGTGACAAACTTGAATCCACTGAACAACTTTTAGCTTTTAAAAGCTCTTCAAATGTCTGAAGATCCTCAGTCACCTCATGTCTAGATAACGTAACTAGACCAGGAAGTATGTCCCTCTGGAAATCATGTCTCCCCCTTCTTGCCTGCCCTCTTCGAGGCCTTTTGTGCAATATAGCAGCCGCCGTCTCTTCATCCTCCTTATTATCCAGTACTATTGGCTTACAATGACAGTGATCTTCCTTCATATCTTTCAACTTCAACGTCATAAATTCAAAGTAATCCATACAATCAGGAATGGACTCTTCATAGCGGGCTTCAGTCTGATTTCGGGAAAGTTCTTCAACAATGATCTTGTTATCGCCATACTGAGCAGAAATTATTTCCGCAAACCATTTAAGGGAATCTCTGGATGCAGCTTCTAGAGGTTCATAAGTTTCGTCATCCTCTAGAAACTTCTTACCAGACAATGAAATGGCAATAATAGCATCAGCTGCAACTTTGACATATTCTTCTGCAGGTCCATTATATTTTCCAACCGAAACTTCAGCTCTTTTCGGAGATGTGTCATCAGTGTCAAAAACTGTAGGAGCTTCCAAGTCTTTATCAGTAGTCGCGGTTTTCACAATAGCTCCGGTGGCTGCTAACTGAGCCTCCTCTTCGTCCAAAGACAGGTTCAAATCAATATGATGCCTCAAACCAGAAATGTAGTTATTTAATCCCTTCTGTAAAACAAAATCCTCGGTTTCAAGCTGATTCATCAGAACAGCTTTGTCTTCTAAAACTTTTCCAGCATTATTACTGCCAACTCCAGAATTGCTATTTGTGGATGTGCAGAACATATCCAAAATTGGAAACCCGAGAACATTTTTAGCATCTGTTCTATCAATGACCTTGATTATCCTGCCCACCTCAGTATCTGCGACAGCAATTGGTGCTGAGGTTTCATGTTTTGTATTGAAAGTCACTGAGTCATCAGCAATTTTATTTCTGTTGAAAAATTGATGAGAATAATCCTTCAAGGAGTCGATATTCATAAAATAAGAACTTTTCCTCTCTTTAGTCTGTTCACCACTATATTGTGGTTTTCTTAGAAACCATGGTAGCTTTCCCTTGGAGCTCTCCTGATTGATTTGGCAATCAGTAACCATGGGATTATGTTGAGGAATCGCCTTCTTTTGAAAATTCTCTGACTGATCTGAATCCGTCTTCAAGAAATCTTGGAGCTTTGAACTCGTGCCGTCTGAACCTTTGAAACATTTTAAGGGGTCAATTTCTGCACATTGATTAGGCATTCTGATAGAGTCAAATCCAATAGAAAAACAGCCATCTAACTCTTTGCTGTTCAATCGAGAACGATAAAGAAAATTGTCTAAGCATGATTTTTCATTTTCTGAACCTGCATTTGCTCTTTCACTATTGTGGTCATTCACATTTCCTATAGCAAACTGTTGCATTGGTGAATTAGCAATGCAATGGGATTGTTCAGAGGTGACAATCCGATGGTCTTGTTGAAGAGATCTCACTTTCGCGCCCGAGGTAGAACAAGTCTTTGTCCAGAGCAAGGCATACAGTGACTCGGAATTGACTGAATCAGTTTTGTGATTTTGATTTGACATGTTAGAAGCTGCACCCAATTGACCGCCATTTCCTTCAGAAATTTCAACACCAAAAAGAGTTTTTTTTCCCCGAGCTGCTGAAATATGCTCGTCTGGTCGGCAATGCGTTGAAAATTCATTTCTGGGCTCAGCTAGGACTGATTGGAACGATGCGGGAGAATTACCCAAACTGAAGCTTCCAATGGAAGAATGACCATTAGATTTCATCTTCCCTGGAAAAGACACTGATACGACATTTATAACTAATATTTACTGACAGATACAATCCAAATTGTTACATTGTTCATCTTGCGAACACTTTTATAGCAAAAAAAATAAATACAGCAGGGAAGAAGAATGCACAGAACAAGAGAAAGACGAGACAAAGAAACTGTGTCCCTTGTGCACTCTATGTTTTCATCAAGTACTCTGCCCCAATAATTACTTTACATAAAATAAAGATGTGACCTGCTAATCAATTAAGAGGTGGCACAATATATGACATCTTTGCTTTGTGGTGATTCTTTGAAGTGACAAATTCATTCTAAGAAGCCACACACTAAGAAGAAAAAGAAAATACACATATATGTGCATTATAAGGTGCTTCAAATTATGATATCATTTTCTAAAGATTAACAGGTTTATACGATTAGCCTCTTCAAAAAAAAAAACCACAAAATAAAAAGTATATTTAGTGCATAGGGTGCAACAAACACCTGTAATCTTCATATATAAGAGGTTAGACCATACATGGGGAGGAGAAGCACCACCAACAATGATAAAAGATGGAATAGAATCTGCAAAAACACAAGGAATCGCAGAAGAAAAAAGGGACAGTGAAGGGTATTTTTTTTACACCCTTCCTTACCTGCAATGGAATCATTTGTCAATGGCTCTTTTTCGTTCCGAGAACTTTCACATTTCCTCCTTCCAATAATGGAATTGAGAAAGAAATCATGTAATGAAACATCGAAGCCTGAATTTGTATTTGCAGATCCATCGGCCCTTACACGACACATGACATTGCCAGGATTACCAACAGAGTTTGAAACAGATGTTCTTTCCACAAACATGCCCGTAGATGTGATAGGTTCAACATTCTTCAAACTTCCCGTGTCTTGGAATGAGGGACAAACAGGAACACTCTTACACGCTATAAACCTTAGAGGAGATTGTGCAGTACTCGGGCCTGATGTTGATAGGTGACCAATCACTGAATACAATGATGAAGAATGAGGGACATCCCATTTTCTTTTGGCATCTTCAGGAGGAACAGGAGAGAAAAGGGGGCTTGAGATGGACTTTTCTGCCTTGATATGATCTTTATCTAGTCCTCCACTTTTAATTTCATTCATCAGATCCCTTTGTCTTTTATAAAGCCGGTGGAGTTCTTGGACCTGAAAGATAAAACACATTCAGAAAATATAAAATGTTGGAAAGTTCTTGACCAATTAAATGGAAAGCGTTCTATTAAAAGTCCCCATGAGAAAGAGGAGTCTCAATTCTGTATTTAAGTTCTTGTCCACCGGTAAACATCATTTGAAGTTCAATGTCACTTCAAATAGATTTATGACATGTTCGGTGAGGATTGGATAGAACTGGAATGTTGAGTAATGCCTACTATACATGCACTGAATGGTAATTCATACCTGATTTCTAAATATGAATTCATGTTTCAGAATTGTTTGCTTCGCTACCTTTAAGTCACATTTGAAGTAACCATTACTTGATTTCTCAGACATGGGTAAACGGTGGTATTGCCCATTTCTCAGCATCTGGTCGTCCTGATATACAGACTTTGTACAGTTGCTTGAATTTCCATCAAGATCCATCACAGAATAACATTGTGGAAGGCATTTATTAGCTTGTATTTTGGTTCCCATTCCTACAATCAATAGACCAGGACGAATTTGAAAAGCTATCAGTTGAACTAGTAAAGTGTTAGAGAACCACGTCACGTACATTAAGCTGAATATAAACGACAGTTGGAAAATCAACACTCATTGAACACGCGCCACAAACCCGACACGAATAGTAAGCAGAATATTTAACCACATATTCAGAATATCCTGAATTCGGCTGTATTTATTATCAAAACCTTTTCCTTTCCTGGAAATGTTAATCAATGTTAAATTTGTACAGTTCATCATTCATTAAAGATTAAGGTAATCTACATTTTAATGATAAATAAGCCATTTTCTGAATGAAGAGAACATCATTAAACAACAAGAGTTCGTGGGAAGAACCAAAATTCAAAACCATTCAAGAACATAATCAATCAATTTCTAGGAAAAAATCCAGAGCACTGAACCACCTCAACTGTGATAATGTCTCAAGAAAAAACAGGATGCAAAAGAATTAAACCCATAACTAAACAAAGGATTGAAAATCAGAAAATTGTCAAAAATATAGGAAATTACCCAGCTCAATTTTATTTTTTTCTGAAATGGAAATTCCAGAATTTCACCCACACAGAGCAGAAGCTTGAAAGATACAGTGGAAATTCACTTCCTTCTGTTGGAAGTCTCTGCACAAAAAGGAAACAGAATTAAAAGGTCCCAAGAACAGGACAAGAATTCTTGTACTGCCATTAAAGAACCTTAAAAGAAGGGTAAAGAAAAACAAAAAATCAATTCAGCAGGGCTACTTCTTGATCATGAAATAGAGGGATCCCAGATAATATCTCTCACTTCACATAAACAGAAAATTATTCGCAAAGAACAATGACTTGAAATACCTCGAATTTTGTTTCAAATTATGGCCTTCGATTTAATCATTTCTTGCCCATTTGGCATTAAAAAGGCTTGATAATAGAACAGGAACAAACAGACATCTAAAAGAAAATCATAGTTACATTTGTAAAGATTTGCAGGGGATTTTTTTGGAAGTGGAAGATATGGGCATCTTTTGGACATTTATTACATTTGTTTAGATTCTCTCACGTTCACAATCCATCCGCTGTGGGGTCAATTAATATTTTAGATTTTTTTACTCTCTAGTCAACGTCGTTTGTTCTTTGTCGATGTGGATCATGCTTATAAGTTGGAAACTTCTAAATTGGATTAAAGGGCATGTTTGGCTTAACTAATTTTCTATTTCGTTTGAATGTGTTACATTATCTTGCCGATATAATATTACTTGTTTTAAACGTAATTTTTATTGTCAAAATGAATTTATTTTATATTTTATATTTTCATGTTATTGTCTTTATTAAAAAATTTCCATAGTTTTCTTCAAAAAAATAAGTTTAATATTTTGAGAAAAATATTATGCCCCTGTTCGGCAACCATTAGTTGATTTTTTTTTCCCACATACACAATTCAACCACACATTCACATAATAAAATATTTTTCACTTAAGTTCAAATTTTTTTCCTACTTTTCAACAACACATTGTTCTGAAAATTACTATTTAAAACAATATTTTTTCCCGAATAATGATTGTCAAACATGGTCTAAACTTGGGACAATTATTGAGAACTCCCCTCTATTTTAGAAATTTTCAGAAATCTCTCTTGAGATTTAGCCATTGTTTGATCCGCATTATTTATAAAATATATATTTTTTTAACCACGCAATTTTTAATAAAATAATATTAGACGCAAATCTGAAAATTTTCCTTATTTTTTAACCACATATTTTCTATCTATCTACTATTCCAAAATATGCTTCCAACAAAATGAGGCTCAAACAAGTCCTTACTTTTCAAAATTTGATCCAACCGGACATGTTAAAAAATAAATTTCATATTAGACAAATATAAAAATATTAATTAGCATATAAAAACTTAAACTGATCTTGAGTCTTAATATTACCAACTTAAGATACAATTGTTTTCATAATTATTGGGCTTCTAGAAAATTACCAAAGCTTTCTAGGGCCCAAAAGCCCAAGAATTTCATCCCATACCATAATATTAGTGGAAATTACACGATCCCCTACATTTGGAGATTCAAATTCTAAAATCAGATTTAGTGTTTTAAGTTTCAAAAATCAGATATTTAAATGTATAAATACAGATTTTTTATATTTAATTAAATATTATGAAAATTAAATTATATGTCCCACCCACCCTTAAAATTATCAAACCTAATCAATGTTCTAA